GTAAAATGAATAAATATATAAATAGATGCAACAAATAAAATATAAATCGTAAATTAAACTAATAATAATAAAATAAGAACAAGTAACACTCGTCGAGCAGACTCGCTTAGCTCTGTTTCGTAGAAATGCATTTTCTTCACATTTACTGCAAAAACAAATGAAAACCGTGAAAAATTGATTTTCGATTTTACCCTGGCACAGACAGACAGACAAACGCATTTTGGTTTTTTTCGTATTAACCTTCTTTCAGTCGAGAGAATAAGAAGACGAAAGAAATCAAAGAAAATTAGAGAGAAAGTCGGTATAATAACATCCAATGACAAAAGTAGAAATGTTTTCGTCAGATGAAAGACTAATTTGTTCTTTTGTGATACTGAGTGTGAGTGGATGCGACTGATTTTTAATCCTTAAATCTACTAAGTTGATACATATATTTGACTTCGTTTTTAATAAGAGACATGAAGTAAAATGGACATTTTTACTGTCTTCCATATTTCATCTCACACAATAAAACTGAATATCTCAATAATGAAATATCTCAATCAAGGCTTACTATGAGTATCGATGTTTCAATCATCTAGCATCTAAACCTTTCTGTATGGTTCCTAACTATTCAGATATTATTCGTTTCTTGTTTTTGTTCAGTATTTGTAATTTTATATCCTATATTATTTTCGGCGATGATTGTATTTTTCAAAATTCTGTCTTTCGAGAATGTAATACGAAAAAAATTTAAGTTTTAGCAAACAGTAAAACGATATAGATCTTTTGGAATCGAAATATTCAGTTGTAGAAAAATCTTCCAAGATACAAATCAATATTCTTATGTATTGGATTTGATAAAGTTTAGTATTTATTATTGTTCTGAAGAAAAAACAACAACAATACATTTCGCTAGTGTGTAATTCTGTCAAATAGAAGATCATTTCAAATAAGAGTGATATTGGCGATTTCAGTCGCATTACAGCAATCATAATTTGTTAACCAAAAGCTAATCATATATGTACCACCGGCAGTTGTAGAAAATGTTTGACTTATTGTATCGCCCATCATACTACCGGCACAACGATCATAATAATACCAGCTACCTGATTTAGCATAACTGCTACCCGGATAAGCCACCCCCCTGTTAACGTTAAAGTCGCAGTTGCCTGTATAATTCCATCCAGTGAGATTACCTGTTTCAAATCCTCCATTAATTATCTTCTGTGTGGTACCATAATAAACACTAACATC